ACAAGTAATTGATTACTGTAATCAAAAACTGTAATCGATTACATTTTTGGCCAACTCTGGAATAAATGCAGATATTATTAATAAAGTTATGAACTTATCTATTATTATTTTCTTATGCACGGCGACTGCGGTAAACTTATTTTCAATAAAACTGAACTTGACTTTGGGAATAAAAAAAATAATAAGCAATCTTTGTTTAATAAATTCGTATTTTATAATTAAATCCAATAATATTTTAGTTTTTTCAAACTATTTTCTTTCTTTTACCCCTGAATTTCCAGTGCCGTCTATTCGCCCATTCAGCATCTTGGCGATTTTCACCTTAATTTGAGGAAGCTTAATTGGTATATTACGATATCACTATTTGAATATTTATGTGTCCGACCAGAGGATATTTATGGACAATTCTAAAAAAATATTTTAAAATATTAAAGACTTTTTATATAGTTTTTAAAACATTTTTTCAAATTTATTTTCTTGAACATTAATAGTCGTAAATCCCAATTTAAAAAAAAATAATAAATAAAATTTTCATATAAAACTCTCATTATTTTTATTTGTGTAAAACGTAACTTCTTAAGCTAGTAAAATCCTTTATAAATTCGAATTTTTTAAGAAAAGAAATATATATATATATTTAATTGTCAAGAAATCATAGTCAATTTTTAATGAGTTCCGCTTTACTTCAATCATACATTTGATCAACCTGCGTAGGGACCGAGAGTCATCAATCATTTTGTAAAAATAAGCCAAGTGAAGGCGTATGGTCCATAGCCAATTTATTAGACGCACCAGATACCATTGAAAACAATTTTCACCCAAAAGCTCAGAAAGTTGCCTGGTTTAAAGCAACGGTCAAATTTTTTTTTTCATTTATGGAACCCTAAATGATCGCTGATTTTATGAATGAAAGTATTTAAAGTATCTATATCAATAGAAACTACTCATTTTGAAAATATTTAATGTTAAGTTTAAATATTTTCCCTCATTTATTAATATTAATATTAATATTAAGTTTTTCCTTCATTTTATCATAAACTAACGGAATTCCCATTTTTCGAACTTGGGGGTTCAACAAGTCCAATAAGACAAATCGGTAGGTAGGTACTTTATTTACGCCGCACTAGAGCTGCACAATGGGCTAATGGGGACGGTCTGGGAAACATCCCTGAGTATAATCCGAAGACATGCCATCGCAAATTTTATCCTCTGCAAAGGGGATGGCACCCCTACTTTGATAGCCCGATGACCTGAGCTCGAGATCGAGCACTTTACAGTTAACGAGGACCGATACCGCGCACTCTCGGTCCAAACGCAGGTTGATCAAAGTGGTCACCCACCCGCTTTTACTGACAGCAGCCAGTAATGCTTGACTTCGGTGTTCTACTGGGAACCGTGTCTTTTCGATCAGTCCACTGCGGGACAGGACAAACAGAACCTGAACGATTCGGCCCATATTTTCCCGATAGTTTCCAGATTGCGCTACTACCCACCATATTTTGAGGATTGAAAGTATGATTATTCAGAGAAAATACTTTTTTTGTGTCTGATTTCGTAGCTTAAAATATCATACGTTAATTAAATGGACTATTTAAGGTCGAAGCATTGAGCAACTCGAACCATTGAGTAAGTGAAAATCCGATCATTAGAACAAAGATTATTTAGGGTGTTCGCTTTCTTATTTTTCATCCTGTATGTAAAGTCCCTGACCAATTTATTAGAAGCAAGATTCTATGCAAAATGGATAAACTAGACTATATATTATATAAATATTGAATATTTATTATATCAGGTATTATATTAGTATATTATAATTAGATCAAATTATTAGACGCACTGTACCTTTTTATAATTATATGCTTTACACGAGTTTATACGCAATTCCTTTATATTTAAACATACATGTAATGCGTTTTTATAGAGGAGATTTTTTTATATACTTCCTATTTGTATTTATTTTTGACGTATTGCATTACGATGTTAACTAATTGATGCCCGGATGTAAGCAAGTGCAAACCTGTTTGAGCCGCGTAAAAACAATAAACCTGTATTGTATATCACCTGATAATTAAGATTTTACATATAATCTTATAGTGCGTCTAATAAATTGGCTATGGACCATACGCCTTCACTTGGCTTATTTTTACAAAATGATTGAAGTAAAACGGAACTCATTAAAAATTGGATATGATTTCTTGACAATTAAATATATATATATTTCTTTTTTTTAAAAAAAAAATCGAATTTATAAAAAATTTTTCTAGCTTAAGAAGTTACGTTTTACACCAATAAAAATAATGAGAGTTTTATATGAAAATTTTATTTATTATTTTTTTTTAAATTGGGATTTACGACTATTAATGTTCAAGAAAATAAATTTAAAAAAATGTTTTAAAAACTATATAAAAAGTTTTTAATATTTTAAAACATTTTTTTTGTTTTAATATTAAATTCCTTATTTCGTAAATTTAATTTAAAGCTTTTTTTCACTCCATTACATGTAAAATATTTAAAAAGTTCACATGAAATGCCACTTAGTTCAAGCTCTGTCGAGGTAAGGCTTTAAAAATGTTGGTAAAATCACCGAAAATTCTCAAAGCTTTTATTTTTAACTGTCTACCACTTTATAAGATATTTTCGAAAAGGCTTAGTAGTTGGCAGGCCTGCTTTAAACAGTTATACCATTTTAAAATAGCTAAAAGAGTGGTTGAAAGTTTATCCACTTGAATTTTTTTTTAAATTGCGTTTTTTGATATATCTCTAAAACTAACTGAGTTAATAAAAAGTTTTTTAATCATTTTATAAAACTCGTTCAACCAAATATAATTTCTTGCAAAATTTATTTTAATAACTAATCCTTATTTTTTTATTATTTACTTAAATAGTGGTTAAAAAAAAAGGAAGAAGCTGAAGATTTTAATAGAAAACGAAATTTAAAAAAAAAAACATCCAAAATTTGATTGGAATTGATTGGATATTTCCCCCAAAAATAGGAATTTAAAACTCAGAATTTTTTTGTTTTGGTTTGTTTGTTTTCTGTTTTTTAAAGACTAAACTAGGAGTTAGCTAAACTAGCTCACGGTTTACGCTTCTCTCGCAAACGCTCAGGGTTAATTCATAATCATCGTATTTTTTTTTTTTTTTTTTTTTTTTTTTTTTNTTTTTTTTTTTTTTTTTTTTTTTTTTTTTTTTTTTTTTAAGTCAATGAAAAAAGATAATTTTGTTTATGATTTTTTATTTTGGAATTTTATATTCTAATTTTTATCTAATATTCATTATATATTATAATTAATCTCATTTTATCTAATATGAATTACATATTATAATTTTATCTAAGCACATTTTATTAATTTATTAATTACGAAATGAAAAGAACGAATAACTAGATTCGAAAAATAATCCCCTGTAATGGAAAAAAAAACTTAGGAAATATAGAATCTGTGACAATTATGGTGTGAAATAATTAATGAGAAATAATTGTTAACTATATATAATAATAACAATATTATATCACAGTGTAAATTGGAAACATTTTTATTTCTCTTGAGACTTTTATATATTTAAAAAGTTCGATGCTAGTGCTAAGTTTGTATCTGGCAACTTTAAATCGCTCACCTTTCACTTTTGACATCAAGTCAAACACGGACTTATAAGATGAAGATCTCGAGAGAGAGGAATTTTCCTACAGCACTGAATGTAAATTCATTAATAAAAGAAAAATAAATCAGTGAAAAAGCACAAAAATTTCCACAACTTTCGGGGAAAAAATCGCGTTAAGTTCAGACCTTTTCAGCAAGTCAGATTTCAACTCTGTAATTACCTTTCTGTGAACTACAGAGCGATCCACGTGATTTTTTTTGCTATAAGTCAAATTATCGAATTTTAATTTTCATCGTACTCCTTGTACATCTTCGTAGTTTTTCCCCAACAAAGCAAAATGTAAAGCAAAATCAAACACTAAAAAACAGCAGCGCTTTGAAGAGAGTGAAAATTCACAAGAATATCATTTTCACCGCACAATCTTATTTGTGTTTAAAAACACACGCTATTTTTCTCTGCATGCTGTGCGAAGTAATTTGTAATTAATATAGTTAATTATTTACAGCGTTTTCCCAAGAGTGCAATGAAGCAACTATGAGACGATGCCGAAGGGAGGGGCTCAACGCCATTGATTCATCGAATCGTCCTGCGGGTGATATTAAAGATCAATGCGCGTAAGTAATAAATAACTCTCAATATATTTTGCGATCAGATTTTTGGTATTTTGAATGGATCACATCAAAGCTGAAAGTATTTCCTTTATCTAAGAAAAAGTCAGATTATGTACAACAGGTGTTAGTTCTCCCATTTCACTGAAATAAATTTAAGTCACGAGATCCAGGTTCTTTTTTTTTTTGTGGTCACTTTTCAGTTACTTTTCAGTTTTCAGTTTCGCATATTGTTAAGAACGCTGTGGTAGAACATGGACGGTGGCATCAGAATGTTAATAAGGTAGGTAGGTAGGATAATAGGTAGGTAGGGGAGAGTGGGGTCAATTGTAACATTTTTTACTTAACTATTTTTAACTAACAAAAAATCCAATATATTATTAGTATTAATTGACAGACGAGTAAAGTAGACTATCCTCTACTAGAAAAAAAAATAAATACCTGATTTTAAATGTTATTATATTAGTTATTAACAATTTTTGACAGTCGTGCACTTGTTACAATTGTCCCCACTTACGGGGTCAATTGTAACAGTTCATAAATTCAACTAAAACATAGTTAATTATACATATTATCATAGTTGTGATATATTTTATTATTGATCAAAATAATAGTGATATTTTAGGAGTAAAATTAGTAATGAGCAGAGACCTAAAGGGTTAAACTTTTTACTTTAAGGGGTTAAATATTTTATTTTATTTTGTGAAAGGTGACAAATAAAATAATGCACATGCAACATAATATAAATGATATAGGAAACTATTGGTAGTTCTTAAAGAGTTAAGTAATGGTTTGTAAACATAAGAAATGGGACCTAAGGGGTTAAACAATTGCAATTGAAATTATTAATTTTATTTTCGCCTGTTACAATCGTCCCTTTACTTATTGTTACAATCGCCCCCATGGCGCCATTTCAGCTTCATTTGTAAAAAACAATGCTAGTTAATTAACAAAACTAATCTTTTTTTTGAAATGTTAATTAGGGTGTCCACTTACATATTCGGTTAATAATTTTTATTGTTTAAACAAAATTACTTATAATATTCTAATACCAAAAAAAGTACTTACGTAGCGTGAAAATATCTTTTGTGATGTAACATTTTCAAAAGTACATAAAAATGGTTGCCAGCAGGGGTGCACATGTAGATTTATTAAATACACCTTGTGCGCCACCTAGGAACCAAATCTAGAACCGGACACTCGAAATTTTTGCTCTGTTACAATGATACCCTGTTACAATTGACCCCACTCTCCCCTATAGTTTGTCTAAAGTAAGAACTCCCCTTCTCATTCGCTTGAACCCGTGACGGTGGCTGTGGTAACTAGGTATAACTGTTTCAAGTAAGGGTGGGGGGTTACTGTTTAGGGCAGATTTTGCGTCGGGTCGGCGAGAGATAGGGAATCTTTTTCTTCGGTCTATTGTGTCAGCCCTAGAGTGAAGAGAAGCTACCCTCCCTGAATTGCGCTATTCTTGTTTCCATGGCAGCAGACAGTCTCAGACTTTGTGGAGACGGGAGTTCTTACCGTAGACAAACTATATAGTTTTACAACCGTCGTTGAACAGCCGACCCAAATTTTGGGTTTACGACTACTAATGTTCAACTCCGTAGCCTTGTAATTTTGAACCCAATCCAGAAGACAAGGGAACTCCTGGATCAAGTATTGGGAGAAATGTGTCTTTGTGGAGGTCTTTTTCATGGAACTAACCAGCATTTGCGTTACATGGAGAGGAAAACCGCGAAGTCCACCCACGGTTAGCCTGATAGCAAGGGGACTAATCCCTGATCCGTCTACCTCTGAGGATATTTTAAGTCAGCACTGTGGTCGGTGCAAGCCGGATGCGGATTCGTATCGACTAGCCATCGCTGGATTCGAATCCGGTTCACCTCATTTGAAGGCGGACGCTCTATCCCCTGAGCCATCGCAGCTCAAACTAGATAGTTTGTCTAAAGTAAGAACAAAAAACATTCCTGAGGACGATCCGAAAACATGCCATCACAATTTTGTTCCTCTGCTGAGGGGATGGCTGCCCTGCTTTGGTAGCCCGATGACCTGCGCGCGAAGTCGAGTACTTTACGGTAGCACAGTTTAACGAGGACGGATCCCACACACCCTAGGTCCCTACGCAGGCTGATCAAAGTGGTCATCACACACCCGCTTACTGACCGCAGCCAGTGGTGCTTGACTTTGGTGTTTTACTGGGAGCCGTGTCTTTACTATCAGTCCACTGCGGGACGTAAGTAGTAATGTTAGTAAGTGTTATTGAAATTTTTATTTCTAATTGCATTTTGTTTGAACTTTTATAAATCATAGAGCAATTCCACCGTTTACGACTGCCCTATTTGCAGACTTCAAAAGCATGTAGCTCTGTTTTTAAAAAAAATCAATCAGTTGTTAGAATTTTGTAAAAATAACTCTTATCATAAAAACAACCCTATAGCCACTTTAAAGGAAGATTTTTCCGTTTCGCTGGAATTCATACCGTAATTTGATGCTAAATAAAGAAAGAAAAAAATAGAAACAATTGAAAGAAAATACAAACACAATGCAGCTCTATTAATTTTTTATCGAAAAAAATCAGTGGCGGTAAGCCGTTTTCTTCCTTTTCTACTCCACTAACTGCATCCCTGACCAGGTCACAAAGTTTTCTAACTCAAGTTCGTCGCAAATTCTGCCTCACCTACATAACTAATTTAAAGTATAAAAAAAGTGAGTTCAGACAAACTTAGAGTAAGCCATGAAGTTTTAAGAACTGAAAATAAATATTTGAAATATCGAAATAAAAATAAATTATGAGAAGATAGCTTTGGATTTCGAAATAGAGAAGTTCTCTTCCAATAATTTGTTTGCATTTTGAAATTTGAAATTTTTTTTTTCAGCAGTTGAAATTTCGTGGCTTACTCTGAGCTTGCCTGAACTCACTTTTTATTTTTATTTTTTTTTTAAATTTTAAAATAGTCAAGAGGGGTAAGGAAATTCGCTGGGAAAAGTTTCTCCCAAGGTATGGCGTCCTCTTAAGTTGCGAGCCATTTTTCCATTTCAATTTTTCTCCCTGACATTTTCAACCCTTTCTAAAGCCGTGGTAAGTATACTTACCACCAATTTTTAAAGTCTATGGTGAACTTTTTTTACCACTTTTAATTTAGGTTTCCATTTGTTAACAACCTCAGCTTTCTTGAAGTGCGTTTGAATAAAATTGGCAACCATTTATTAGTTTAAGAAAACTTATAAAAGTTTCAGAATGCACAATTCCTTTTGAAGATTTTAGTATTTATAAAATTTATTTTATAAATAAAGAAAAATAAAAGCCAATAAGTTCCTAATAGGTCGTGTTAAATATACTTACCACCAAAAAAATGGCATTTTTATAAACTAAATGAGTTTTTTTTCTTCCTTAAGTCAATTACTATTCTGTTAACAATTTCAATTCCAAGAAAATTTTTTAATTTACCTTTACAAGAAATAAATGGCCAATTTAACACGTTGAATACCACGCTAATTTTACATGATTTGCCCGTCTGACCAAACGCTAAATAACTACAAACTAAATTCGCAAATATTAGACATATTTTGCTAGTTTTTAAAAAGGTTTAGCATGGCATATCTAAAAAACGTGGTGAATTATATAAGCCTACGAATTGTTTAGAAACAGTGGTGGATAAAAATCTACTAAATTGAATTTATTAAACCCAGAATCACAATTAATAAACCACCTCTTGAAAATATTTATTCGCTGCGCGGTGGAAGTTGGCATCTCTGTGTATATAAATAAAACTATTTTTGTTCTATATTGCATTAATTTCTTCAAATCATTTTAGTAACTATAATAATATTAAAAAAAAATAAAAATTTACTCGAATTATGTGTTTCTAATAATCTTGGCTTCGCCGGTCACCGGTGACCACCGTGTCGCTACGGACAAACTCAGTGCCGGTCACCGGTGATCCCCATGGCATCCAACGCGCTAAGGGTTAAAATAACTTTTTTCTATAATTAACAGCAAGATATTGATGTAAAAGAAAACATTTTCTTACGAAATCATATTTACGAACCAAAGGTGTCGTAAATTTTTCAATATATTAACCATCCGGTGTTTTCTTAAATGAATGGGCGTAACAATTGGGTAACCTTTCATGAATGAAAGCTACGAAATAAACTGAGTTCAATCTTGCGCGACGATCGATGATCTCTATTTATGATAAGGAAACGGCTTTCGAATCACAGCAAAACAGGCTCTTTAGCATTTTATTTTTATTTTTTAATACCTTTCTCTTTTGTATAAAAAAGCAATCAATGCATTTGTATGAATGGAGTAGCATATCCTATGGCGTAATTTTCAAGTAAACTGTGCATAAAAGAACGAATTCCTTTTTTATATTGTCTTTCTTTTTCCCTTCGGAACAATAACAGCTTACAAACATGAAATTTTTTTTATGCATTTCTTGACTTTCATTTCAGTGAGTAATAAGAAAAAAAAACTTGACATTAGTCTTCGTCCATTGTAAGAAGGGACTACGCCGTATTTTTTCTAAGAATGAAATTTCGAGGATGTGTGTATATCATTTGGATTGGATTGTTGTAATTTCGAGCCCTTTTGTTGTTCTTTATTTTTGTTTTTTTGAAAATTTTTCATTTTAGTCGAAATTAATTTAAGTGTGTTTTTTGAAGTTCTTCCACTCCAAGGTAACTAAATAATTCACTCTTTAAAGTGCCTTTTTTTTAAACCAAGGCAAGAATTTAAAATTGTAAACATAATCTTGCCATAAAGAATTATCAGTGCCTTAGAACAGTGTTCCTCAACCCCCGGTCCGTGGACCGGTACCAGTCCATGGATCAAATGGTACCGGGCCCATTCATTGGCCCATTTCATTGAAACTGAATTTAAATTCCTAGGTTTATACCCCAAATTAAAAATATTTATGTTCCATTAAAATTTTTTTTATTTAAAAAAAGGGGGGCCCGAAGGAAGTGACATTAATTTTAAAAAGTAAAGAAGGAAAAAAAAGAAAACCACCTTAACTATTTTTTCCTTCAATAAGTTTTAATAAAAAAAAATCAATCATTATAACTGTAAATATCATAAATAAAACAAGAAAACGAGGCGTGAAATTTACATTGGAACTAATGAAGAACTTCGTCTTCTGTCTCGACCGTGACTAATTGATTTAAAGTTCTAGTAAAGTTAAAATGTTAAATCATTTAAAGTTTATTTTTTTTGGTGTAACTGTATTTTATTTTGAAGGCATGTTTAAATACATTAAATTAAAATTAATAAATCAAAATAATCTAAAATATAAACAATCACCGTCCCCCCCCCAGTGGGCCGCGGTAAAATTATCAAATGTTGGCAGGTCCGCGGTGATAAAAAGGTTGAGGNTTATCTCCAATATAGGCGACTTAAATAAAATAAAATTTAAAAATTGAGTTATTGTCGTTTCTTTTCAAAGAAACTGTGTCTAGACAAGAATTAAACAATCATAGATGTTGCTGAAAATTAAGAACAAATATACAAATAGAACATATATATATATATATAATAACAGGGCAACAACCCCGTTAATTTTGATAGTGTTTTTAATTTACATAGTAGAAAACATAAGCCGATAGATTTTAACAGGCTTTATTTACTGGAGTATGGTGTAAACAGAAGTCTCACCCACTCTCCCAGATGGAGGGGGGTGGACTAATATCAAGACAGTAGTGAAGCTTAGGTTGGTAACATCGTAAAAAGACACGCAAAAACAATCGCTCTTGCTTTAAATACTGACAGAAAATGAGGTAAAAAGGCTCGAGTTGTACATACCTTGCAACTCTACACATCATCGATAATCATTACTGCTTCCTAATATGGAAGTGAAAGAGGGAAAGATTCTAAAAATACTCCTTTTAAATATAAATCTAATTATTATTCATTGGTATGTTTTTTCAGCCTTGAAGTCCCAAAATAGAATATCTCTACACCTATTCTTTACCAAAGACATTTTATGAAAAGAGTTTTAATGCTTTTATTAATACAAAAGTATTTATAATTTTTGTATTACAAATATATTTATATAGCTCTGCAAACTTGTACGACCGTTGAGAAAAAAACTTCTTAGTAGTAGATAATTTTAAAACAAATTTGTTTTAATATGATCTATTTGTTAACTTACTTAGCTCTTAAATGTTTAATTAGTTTAATTATTAAAAAAAATCTTTCGAACTTTACTTGTTCATTTACCAACACTTTATTAAATCTTTGTAAAATCAGTGACCGGCAATCTAGTACTAGATTGCCAAGGAAGTCATTTTGACTGCTTTTTAATTTCAATTAGAAAAACAAAATGACATAATTTCTTAGAATTTTGTGACTTTTTGTGCAACATATAATATTTTTTTATTGTTAATAGTTACTAATAACTTGTTATATAACTGTAAATAATATTAAAAATTATTTTTAAGCAAATTTCTCTACACATTAGTAAATCTTCCACAATCCAGTCATTTTGACTGCTTTTGGGCAATAAAGGTATATATATACTAAGTTTCAGTCTTTCTAGTGTTAAGAACGGCTCTAATGTAAAGAAATTATTCTCAATTTAGCATCAAACATTCTCGCGAAATGAATCAATTCTCTCTGATAGGAATTTTATAGCCCATTGCATTGGGTTCTTAGGAAAAGTAATTATCGCCAAGGTCTGTGGTCAGAATCGAAAAAGAATTGAAAGAGGCCACACGTTGATTATCTCTCTTCCGGTGTCCTTTCTCTTTTTAGAGAGTATAGCTTTTCAATTAGTATGTAAAATCATTGCGTCAACGAGTCGACTTCTAAAGTTCTCTAATCGGAGATCAAATGCCGGAAATACTTAATCATTTAAAAGGTTTTGTTTGTGATTTGAATATAATGGTGCGTTACGCGTTTAAAGTGTAATAATATTATCATTATGGGAGTGTAGATTTTGGTTAGAAAAGTGAATTAAGTTGAGATAAAAAATATATTATTAATAATTTAAATAATAATAACTTTTATTTAACTTTACTATTTCTTTTTTATCACGTTTATATCAACTAGCTTTGTCTTTGTTCGGGTGGAATTTTGTAATCGATTTTAAACTAACTTCCCGACTAGCTACAAACTTCAAAATTGGCACATAGTTCAGAATTGGATGACAATGCATGAAAAGGAAGAGGAAAAAAAATACAAAGTAAAGTAAAATTAAAATTAAAGAAAAATTAATATTTTCGTGATAGTCTTTTGTTGTTGATTCGATTATTTCAAATTAGTGTCACATGTCAGTTGAAAGGTTTTGTGCACAGTGATTGAAAAAATTTTGAAAGTGAGTACAAAAAATATCAAAATAAAAATAATATTTTTAAAAACCACATTTTTGTAGTGGAGAATAATAATTAAAAAACAAAAATTTGAAAAACGAAAAACGTGGGGAGCATGAAATACAAACAGTACATATACACATTTTCTTACTCATACACATGCACAACCACATACACATCTACATATACATCCACATACACATGCATATACACAAACATATTCCACATCCACATCCACATTCAGATACAATTACAGATATATATATTCTCCTGAGCACACATACTGTTACTGTTTATGTATTTCATATGCGCCCCACGTTTTTCGTTTTTCAAATATTTGTTTTTTAATTATTATTCTCCACTACAAAAACGTGGTTTTTAAAAATATTATTTTTATTTTGATTTTTTTTCTTTCTTAAAAAAAAAGAAAAAAAAGCGGGGCTCAGTAAGACCATAAGTGATGTCATGATTGCATGGAAAGAAGGGGGTTCTGAAAATTGTGACAATTTCTAATTTGTACCGAGAAGCGAGCCATCACACATTTTGTTTAAAATTAAAGCATTTTAAAATCAGAAGTTAAATACTCTTATTTAATTAATTTTTATATTTTTTTCTCATGTTTTTCATTAAAATAAGTACACGCCTAATTATTATTGTTGCTATGTTTAAAAATGTCAAACCCAATCAAGTTTAGAAATAAAATTTGAAAAATTTTCTATGTACTGCATGTTTTTTTCCTTCTGAATTCCTAGTAAATGTTTATGAAACATAGTGATCATGTGACAAGGGGGTAAAGTTGTAAGGTGAAGTGTGATATTTTTACATTTTTCTGTCAAAGGGGACGAGGGGCTGAAAGAAATATTGAAAAAAAAATGCGTGACACCATTTGCGAATGGCCTAATATGCTTTTTGTGTGTCAGCGATCCATATACCTTAAATACCCATAATTATATTCACAGAGAAATGATATCTTTTTAACCCTTATTGACCTCATTAACCCTATAACCCCTGTTGTCATTGCTCGACCAGAACTTAAACGTATATTGCAGTTTGGAGTATTTCTATTTTGCAGAAATTTACGGGAGAATTTCGATTGTGTTTTGTGGCAAACTTCCATGTGTTCGGATAAGGACGGTCAAGACGATAACAGGGATACCATAGTCAGGATGTGGCGCTACATGCAAAGTTTTTGCGAATCACAAGGCAGTGAGTAAATTACTTTTGATTTGTATTTACTGCTTATATTATAAAATATTTGCTATATTTTTGGATTCAACAATCAATCAAGCTGGAGCCGTGATGGCTCAGGGAAAAGACGGAGTTCGCCTTCCAATGAGGTGAACTGGGTTCAAATCCCAGCGATGGCTGGTCGGTGCGAATTCCGTATCCAGCTTAAACCGACCACGGTGCTGATGTAAAATATCCTCAGTGGTAGACGAATCAAGGGTTTGAATCCCCTTACCGTCAGGCTAGGTTTTCATCTCCATATGACGCAAATGCCGGTTAGTGCCATTAAAAAAGTCCTCCATGAAGGCAAATTACTCCCAATGCTTGATCCAGGAGTTCCCTTGTCTTCTGAAATGGGTTTAAAATTACAAGGCTGAGGAGGTGAAGATTTATAGTCATAATTCAGAATTGAGTAGACTGTTCAACGACGATTATAAATAAAAATAAATAAGTCATTCAAGCTTTCTATAAAATCCTCCTCGAAGGCTAGTTTGTCCCAATGTGCTTGTTCCAATGTTCAGGAGTTCTCTTTTTTTTATATCCGTCGTTGAACAGCTGACCCAGTTTTTTGGGTTTACGACTACTAACGTTCAACTCCGTAGCCTAGTAATTTTGAACCAATCCAGAAGGACAAGGAAACTCCTGGATCAGTACCTCCAGAGGTATAATTTGTTATGGGAACATGAAGGACTTTGAGACTCGACAGATTTAACCTGCATCAGTCACCATTTACTACACGGGGAGTCTTCGGCCGGCGGGGATCGAACCCACGACCTCTTGGACATAGGTCCAGTGCTCTACCAACCAGGCTATCCCGGCCCCAAGAGTTCTATTTTTATTTTATCCGTCGTTGAACAGCCGACCCAATTTTGGGTTTACGACTACTTATGTTCAACTCAGTAACCTTGTAATTTTGAGCCAATCCAAAAGACAAGGAAACTCCTGGATCTGTACCCCCAGAGATATTAATTTGTTATGGGAACATGGAAGACTTTGCGACTCGACAAATTTAGCATGCATCAGTCACCATTTACAACAAGGGGATTCTTCGGCCGGTGGGGATCGAACCCACGAACTCTTGAACATAGGCCTAGTGCCCTACCAACCAGGCTATCCCGGTCCCCAGGAGTTCTACTGTCTTCTTTACTCGGTTCAAAATTACAAGACTACGGAGGTGAATATTCATAGTCGTAAACTCAGAATTGTGTATCAACACCGGTTATAAAGTAAAATAAAAATCATTGTAGCTTGACTCGCTTCAAACAACTTTTTATTGTTCTTCAGAACGTGACCCAAGGAACTATTTTTAAATAACATTGAAAAAGAATCATTGCAAACTATGCTATAAAAGTTTGAGGTTTTCAAGATGGGGAGAAAAAAGTGGTGGATAAACTAAGGGTTAAATGGAAAGAGTATCGATAAAATAAAACCAAGTGAATGATATAAGAGGTTCATTCAGGAAGGTAAAAGTAATGATCTGGAAATGATTATAGCAATGACCTTCTAATCATTTCCTTGTTTCACTATGTTAACACACGCACAAAATTTTCAATGTTAAAAAATAAAATAAAAAAATAAGTAGATTTTGGCGTCAAATTCCGAAGTTCGAGTCGGTATTGGCGATCAAAATGGGGTCGAGGATTTTCTACTACCTTTTAAAGTTGCCAACAAGGTACTGAAATTGTTGTATAAAATATTATTATTAGTCTAATTATAATGTTATTATTTTATAAAAGGCATTGGATCTCGCTAAATTAATAATTTTTATGATATTGCCCATATTTGCTGAACAAGTTTTTTGAATTTTGCAGGTTGGTACACGAAAACTTGTTTTCAGCGTGATGACGTAAAACGATGTGAATCTCTGCTGCCTACAAGAGGAACGTCAGTCGATCCGTCATCTTGCAGGTATTCTCTCTTCATTTCATCAACTAAATAATTAAAGAATGGGAGAAAAAAATATTGTGCAGTTTCGCACGAAAAAGTAAAATATTATGTGTATCTTATAACAATCGAAGCGATATTCTCTGAGTTAATTTTCCAGATAAAGAAAGCGGATAAAAAAAAAAATCGGCAGTTTATTACCCATTGTCAAAATGGACCTTGTTTTGGGTTAGATGGCGTGCGCACTTTATTTGGACGTCATCACACTTTTAATTTGTTCGAGAGTAATAGTAAACAGTGCGCATGCGTCGCCATTGCATGCGTTGCTATGGCGACAGCTGCTGTTTGATATTTTTTTCAGAATTTATTTTTTCACTCGCGGGAGTAAAAAAAGAAACATCTCCGCGATTGAAATTGAGACAACCCGTGCCAAACGCAAACAGTGACTTCTCTTTCAGTCACTTACTTCGCTTTATCATCAGCTATTATAACTTTCGTTTCTCTAGTTAATTAAATATATTTTAAATTTAAAAACTGCTGTTTTTCCTGCAAAATGTCTCAATAAGGACAAACTATTCACTCAAAAGAGAGAAATATCATAAAAAATGGCGCGAAATATCATCAAATTAATGAAATATTTAATGTTAAAAAAATGCAGATCTAATTTGCGAAATAAATATTTTTTTACTACACGATCGCCAAATAGCAACCTTGTTTAAGATTGCTCACAACTTTCCCCCAAAAATGGCGAAATAGTACCGTCACATACCACGTGATGAAGGCGGATCCAAGTCCTGGTGAACGAACAATACTAATGTTTCTTTGATGTGATTTATTTCTTTAGGAGTTTCTCCAGTTTTCGCAATTGTGTGACTGCCATCGCACAGATTGATTGCTCCACTTCCGATCAGAAATTCTTGGGCACTTATCTGATGGAGAAAGGCCAGCAGAGAGCTTGGAACTGCCCGAGGGACCAGAACGATCTGTACCCGGCGAGTGCCCCACTATCCGACACTTTCTCTTTATCAGAGGCCTCTTGTAAGACTCTTTTTTTTTCTCTTCTCTTCATGTAATCGTGAAAAAAAATATTTGTTCCAAGTATCGAATAAAATAAAAATTAAGATAATTTAAAACTCAACATCATCATAGACAGCCCAGTGTGGGCCTACGCCTTCCCCTGAAGATCTCTCCATAACGACTTCCGATTTATCTTTGATAAGTCAAAGAATTCAAAACTAATTGAGTTAAAATTAAAACTAAAATAAAACAGGAGTTTTGAAATCATTTGAAGGGTTTGAGAGGTAAGCCACATTTTTTCCAAGGATGATATATTTGCAAGGGAAAAAGAAACTGTTCATTAGTACTGTCTCCATTTAGGTTCTTTACAAATTTCGGAAATTTCCACTCAAGTAGCACATGAATGGAATGTTGCCGTTAGCGGTTAAATTAGCAATAAAACTTCTTCTCAGTTACAATTTCCGATTTATTTTTACGTCTAATATTTAAAAACAAGCTAATAATCCTAATATTGTTATTTTATTTCATTTTATAACCGTCGTTGAACAGCCGATCCAATATAATAGATTCTATACAAAATCTTAATTATCAGGTGATACTATACAGCTTTATTGCTTTTACGCGACTGAAACCGGTTTGTACTTGTTTACGTTCGTGTATCAATTGGCTAAATTAGACGATATATATTTAAAATTCGACGATTGGATAAATTAGACGATATATTATAAACATAGAATATTTATTATATCAAGCAGTATATTAGTATATTATAATAATTAGACCAAATTATTAAACAAACTGTAGTGTTTTAATAATGACATGCTTTGCACGAGTTTATATACAATATTTTTATATTTAAACATACATGTAATGGGTTTTTAATCAGATTTTTTATATACCTTCTATTTGTATTTATTTATAACGTAGTGCATTACAATGTTAACCAATTGATAAAATGAGTCATAAACCTAAGCTTAAAAAAACCCCCTTACGACCCTTAGCGCCATCTGCGCTTAGCTTTACATGGTCATCCATCCATATTTTGTAGAAAATCATCATCAAAATCTTTACATTGCAAAAGGAGTAATAATTACAAATATGTGTTATATTCTTTTTAAAGATGGCCGCTGTTCGGAATCAGCGAAAAGTGACCTTCAAGAGTGCCGTAATCAGTTTTATTCTACGCAGAAAGAAGCCCAAGAGCACAATGACAGTGACATGAGGCATCACATCACATGCTGGTGAGTTTCTCATCATAATACATACATTTAAGTACAGAACACTGCAAAGTGTTCAGTAATGGCAGCCGTTATCATATATTTTTGAATGCAAATCAAAAATGCATTTAAAAAAAAGTATACACATTAGGGGTGGCAAAAACCTAACTAATCTCTACTAAAGCAGGCGAGACTGGAAACATCGAAACCTGTTTTATTTTTTTATTTTATTTTATAATATTCGCTTAACAGCCGACCTAATTCTTTGGGTTTACGACTACTAATGTTCAATTCCGTAGTCTTGTAATTTTGAACCCAATTTAGAAGACAAGGAAACTCCTGGATCAAGTATTGGAAGAAATTTGCCTTTGTGGTGGATTTTTTGATGGAACCAACCCGCATTTGTGTCACACGGACAGGAAAACCACGAAAACCTCCCACGGTTAGCCTGATGGCAAGGGGATTCTAAACCATGATCCGTCTACCACTGAGGATGTTTTACGTCAGCACTGTGGTGCAAGTCGGATGCCGAATTCGTATCGACCAGCAATCGCAGGGATTCGAACCCGGTTCACGTCATTGGAAAGCAAACGCTCTATCCCCTGAACCATCACGACTCAAACCGGTTTTATTGACGGAGAAAGCAGGAGAGGAGTTGAAGGGCGTTCTCCTCATGAGATAATCAAACCAGTTTTGATATTTTTCATCCCACCTTCCTCGTTAGTGTTTTGACTGATTTCGATGGCGTTTTTATTTTTACTTACGAGAGTATTAATTTGCGACCACTAGTGTGTATGCTTTTTTTCCCCCTCATATTTATTAATCTATAAATATATTAAGGACGGTCATTAAAGAAGACTTTATACAAAGTAAAACTTACTTGTTTAAAAAGAGAATTTTTTCTATCGTGATATTTATACTCTTTTCTGCTTCCAAAAACTATAAAAAAAAAAAAAAAGGAGTGAAAAGTTCTTTTTTTTCTTCAATGAAACCAGCATTTTTTTCTACACTTATAGGAACAAAAATTATGAAATAACATCAATTCCTTTTTGTTTTTTAGTGCCATGGTTCGCTACGAGGATTGTGTGCAACGCGGAATCGAAGAGTATTGCGGAGATAGCCGGGGAAAATCGGAGGCAAAGAGCATAGTGGCCGACATGAGGGAAAGATTTCCCTACCAAAGCTGTGGAGACCACACAATGACCGAATGCTCTGCCGGAAACAAAATGGCGGTTTCATTAGTTGCTTGCATGTTACTCATAATGATTACTCATTTTATAAGTTCCAAATGCAGCAGTATGTAAACTGCAGTAGAAAAATGTAGGAATTGAGTCATCCAGTATAATGAAAGAACTTTTCATACCCATTGATTAATGAAAACGAGGATTTTAGAAGATAAAAGTTCCAAGTGACATTTTTGGAAAATTCTCGGTGTACGATCTTACTTTAACCTTATTTAACTATGTCAATTGGATTAATTTTGCCAAGTCTTTAAATTTCGGAATTATCAAAGGTACAAACAGGGCCTTATTGTCACACGCCCTGTGTACAGTGTTCGAAGAGATACTCAACGTCATTTATTTACATTTATTTTTAAACATATTTTCCCTTTATCCTTCCACTATTGATTAATAAATATTTGATATAGTTACGTTTTATTTAAAATATTAAGAGTTTGATTAATTATTATTTACTTTAAATGCACGAAAATCTATCAGTTCCTATGAATAATATGATTAGAACCCGATGTTCTTATCTATTTTTTTTAAAAAAAATACTATTAGTATTCGATATAAGAGTCTTAATTTAGAATACCTTTATTTCAAAAAGAGCTAAACATTTTAAACATTTATAAAGTTTTTGCTAACATTTTGATTTTTCTTCTTCTTTTAATTGAGACACTCTGAATTTGAAAATTAAAAATGAAATGAAAATTAAAAAATCCCAGCTATCATGGATGAAATAATAGCTCTTTGTGCTTCTTCATGGAAATTAATCGTAAACATTATGTTCTAAGGTCACAAAATCTAAAAAAAGAAAGTTGAAGAGTTTTCTATTCTTTCATGTAATTCACTAAATCAAATTTGTTTAAAGAAATAAGTTTCAATCTGTTCCTTTAAAGTACTTAAAGACTGGTCACAAAGAACAAGTAAAAAAATAAAAAGCTACACACTAGAATTTTGAAAAAATATATTCCCCCCCCCTTTCTTTTTATATACAGTGAACATTTTGTAAGTTTTGCTGCGTAGTAGTTCAACTCAGCTTATTGAGGAGCATTAGACATTTTTTTAATATTTATGTATCATGTTATATAAATCAAGTTGTTGATTTACTTCTTGTGGATAATTTATTTAAATAAAGGTAAATCTCATTAATTTTTTTAAACATGATTTCAAGATTTTATTTAGCAAATACGCTATCTTAAAAAAAGAAATATTAACATGCATTATGAAGGACATAAAGACTGGCCACAAAGAACATGTAAAATCTACGCTCTAGAAGTTTGAAAAAAAAAATAATTCTCCCGCCTCTTTTTTCCTGTTTTTTTTATATACAGTGAAACTTTTGTAAGTTGATCTTTTGCAGTGTAGTAGTTCAACTTAGTCAGGAGGTCAACTTATTGAGGAGCATTAGCCATTTTCGTTTTATTTATATCACGTTATTTTGTTACATATATTATGTTATTGATTTATTTCTTATAGTTAATTTATTTAAATAAAGGTACCTAAATCTCATTAATATTTTTTAATATGATTTTAAGATTTCTTTCCCTATCTTAAAAAAAAAACGAACTATTAACAAAACAATTAAAAATGATTTTTTTAAACCAAATCATTCAAATTCTATAGTAATTCAGAAAATTTCCTAAAAAGTTTTTTTTCCTGGTCAATTTACTTATTTTAATGGTTAATAATTTTGACTTCATTTCAATTTTGGCTTAATTAAATTAGAATTCAACTAGACGAACAATGAAGGTCCTTTTTATTAGGATTAATTCAGTTATTGATGAAAGAGATCAACTCAGACAGAACTTGATAGGTTTCACCGTCAAATGTCCCTGCAAAATATTTAGCTATATTTTCTTACTATAGAGGAGTGTCGGGTACCCCCCCCCCGCCCACTGTCAATTTCATATGTATAGACTATTTTTTCAAGTCAATGGGCCATCGGACATTAATTGTTATATTAAAAAAATATTATTTTCAAAGTTTCAAGTATTTATGCAGCTGGTAACATGGTAAACAATAGTTTTGAAAATATGTTGAATACAGTAGTCATGAAATTAAGAAAAATTGGTTGAATGTTTCGATTAAACTTCATTTTAATACTAAAAAAATAATTTTTTCTATACATACAGCATTAAAGTATGTAGTCTTAAGTTTAATTTGCACAAAGAAAGAAGTTTGTATGTAAAAAATTGTTCGAGTAATTACAAATTTACAAAAAAATTGGATTTCGGGTAGCCCCGCTCACATGAATGTCGGGTATCACCGCCCAATTTTATTTCGTCGATAAATGTACGGTTGCAAAGATTATTATTTTATTGCTTCAAATTTGAATGTTATATGCATTTTTAACAACAAATATATGTTTTAATATTATATGAAACATAAATTTATATATTTAAAAATGAAAAATTAAATATTTTTAAAATGTAATTGATATATCCAAATTAAATTTAATATCAAGAAATCATAAATATTATGATAAGCTATTTGCTTACTTATTTATTTTCACTTATTTGTGAACGAATCAATCTACAGAAGCATTTGAATGCAATCAAAATACAAAGTGAATTTGTAATTTTATAAGAAGTATTTTATATTAAGTTTATAAGAAGAGATCAACCAAATAAGTTTATATTGAAAAACAACTATTGTTATTAATTATTGTTACTTAAATTAAATTATTTTCGTTAAATATTTAATATAAATATATATTAATATTATAATATATTAATATACATTAATAATGATAAAAAGTATGACATTTGTTGTTATTAAATGATAGAATTCACTAAAAGTATATAAATATGTAATAAATAAAATAATTTTGTGATAAAAATGATAAATGAGGTTTATCTATTGTCAATACATTGGTCATTCTCATTTACACCTGAAAAAATAGCCAAAAAACACAATTTTTGTAACTGGGCGGGGCTACCCGACACATTTTGAAAAGAGCTGAAAAACATGTTTTTTTTAAATTTCTATTTTTTTAAGTTAAACTATTCTTTTTTTGGTTTATTCTTTTTCATTATTTAATTAGATGATAAAACAATAGAAACATACAAAAATATTGATTATTACTCAATATTATACAATACAGAAATAAAAGCAATACTCCTTAAGTGGGCGGGGCTACCCGACTGTCCCCTATATGAAATCTAATGACGGTGTCGCAGTTTTCCATGGTTGTCAATACATTTTTATTGGCTGGAAAATCACACGGAAGGATCCAGTTTTCCCACATTAACTCTCGTTCGTTTGTTTTCCAATAAATATTTCTGCTTCCCTAATTTAAAGGTTAAAATTACCTGTACTGTTATTATTACGTTTTTGATTTTGCTTGGTTTCTAAATTAAGAGTTTAGGAGGATTGTTTTTATTATTATTATTGTTAGAATAATGTAATTCTACGTTGCATTTTAAGATAAAGTTATTAAAATCGGTTTTTAATCTTATTGTTTTACAATTATTATTATTTTTTTTGAAAATTACATTAATATACTAATACGAATTCCGGATAAAGAGATTCGTTAAATGATTCAGAACTTCACTTTCAGCTTCATGCACAAAGTGATGAATGCAAAAATATTAATTACAGTTGCAAACTCTCAAAATTTGTTAAAACAATATACTTTTAATTTTAAATGTTATTTAACAAAATGATTACTTAGAAAAATGATTTATGTTGACTAATAGATCTTAATAATATCATAAGAGGAATACTTTAAAATGGGAAATAGAGGCAAAAATTATTGCGAAGCAATCATCGGGGTTGGCGAGCCTCAGCGTACAGGGGGGCTAACCCCCCCCCAATTGACGTATAAAATAAATGTAATTTGACAGTGGCTGAAGTAGAAGTAACCAAAATATGTAGTAGTAACAAGTTGTTAAAGAATAAAGAAGTAGTAGAAGGTCTTATTGAATATGTCATTCTAAATTTCAATGATCAGATCATTCTTGAAACCATTGGTAAATAATTTCATTTCTCAACAAGGATAACTTTTAGGCGGCACTTATGCTTTTATTGAATTTCAGATTTTTTCTTACTAAAACACAAGCATTTTTTTCTTACTTAATTAGGCATCCAATCTCAATATTAATCATCTAAAATATTCAGTATGTATTATTTTACTGATTTGACTGCAATGCAAATTGGTACCTTGCCTAAACTTCAAACTCAGTTAAAATACTAAACAATAGAGACATTTTACTGCAGTAAAATGAAATAAATATTGATAAATGGATGAGTTTGTCTTTTTTTGTCCTTTTTCTCAAAACTAATTTTCCGGATATTTTCCTAATAAACACATTAACCCAATTAAGAAATTAAAAATTTCAAAAATTTGTCGCCAAAGATATTCGGGTACCTTAAGTAACTGATAGTTAGAATAACATAAGAAGCAGATTTAAAAACACAATAAGACAGAAGAATACTTTAAATACAATATGGTGTTTTATTTGATTTAGTATTATCACAATAATAAAAGATAACAAAAAGTATGACAGCAAAATTTAAAAAAAAATGTAGAAAAAATCTAAAATTTCGTAAAAAATTTTTGCTGTTGTAAATAATAACAAATAAGTATATAAATGTAATATTGAATTCAAACAATAATAAAATTAACTTGATACCATTGACCATAACAGTAAAGGCTTTATTTTATGCCAACTTATAAACATTTCATATATGAGAAATGAAAGGTCTCTAGATAAGTGACACAATACTAATATCTATCAGTAACATGATAATTAACAGCTAAAAAATTTAAATTAATAATTAACAGCTAAAAGAAAAAAAATTAGATTTGTATAAAAGACAAAGTTACAAAAGACATACAATCATTCACTTTTATACATGCAAATGAAAATAGTTATATCATTTAGATTTCTAAATATATATATATGTATATATAAATCTGGATTTATATAATTTAAAAATTTGTTATTTTTTTAAATATATTTTTTTTTGGTAAAAATAAAAATTTACTCTGTTTAGTTACTTGCATAAAATGTTCAATATCTAAATAAATGGATGAATCAATAAAAATATTAGTTTTTCCTGAAAACTATTTTATTTATGTGAAAGAGTGCTTTCTATCATTGCGTGTCTTACTACTTGATAATACAGAAAATTGATTTCTGAACTAACAGTATTTCTTTACGACAAATTTTTCAAGATCCAAATTTTGAAATTAATGTATTTTTTGTATAATAAATAATTTACGAATATACTTTTCTTTAAATTTCGCATTTAAATTAAATATTTTAATAAAATAAGGTAAACCGTCCTATTTCAAACGAAATAGTAAAGCTTTTGCTTGTCAAATTAAAATTACAAGTACTGTTACATACATAAACTTTTTTATTTATATTTTACCAACAAACAGAACTTTGATGGAAAAAAGCTTCGCACTGTAAGTAGCAATAGATATTTTTTGTTTATTAAGATGTAAGAAAATTCCTTTATAATACTTATTGTAATGCATAGAATGTAATAATTGAATTATTTAGCTTTGAAACAAATCTTCTTGAACAAATTTTTGTTTGTTCAAATTCTTTGTTTGTTCAAATTTTTAGTTCAAATAGTTTGTTTCTAATTCTTTGAAACAAACAATTAAGTTTAATTTCAGAAATCAATTTCTGTCAGGGTCAAGTTGTTATTATTGTATAAATAGTTCCAAGTTTTCTTCTTCTCTTTTTTTCCCAAATATATCAAAACTGAGATTAAATCAATGTGTAGGAATTTATTAGGATTTGAGGGAACATAAACTATTTACATCACATAAGTCACATTACATTAAAGTTATGATCAATTATCATGGCTTTGCCCATAACAACTGAGTAATCAGAGCAAAGCTTTGATGAAAAAAAATGGATGGGACAAAAACAAAGACTAGAGGAACATGGGGTACATAATAAAATGCACACATATGACTTATTTTTCTCAAAATCTCATATTTTACATTCTATTTAATTAATTATTGATTATAATTTACATTTAAGAAAATTACTTAAAAATGCAACGTTTAATTTCCTCTCCTGTTAAGTAACATACCATAAATTTTAATAAAATTTATTAAATTTTTGGAATTTTTTGCATTTATAGCTCTTTTTATATTTATAGATTAATATATCAACACAGTTAAACACTTCAATA